GGATGGGTCGGGGGGGGGGGGTGAGGTGGGGCAAGGCGGAGGCGGCAAATAAGCACACCGCGACAGCCGCTGGCAGGCTTGCCGCTCCCCCCTCAAACGTGGAGCAGATTCCAGGTCTTGTCGGGCCCAAAGCAGGCGACAGCACGCCGACCCCTCTCACACGCGAACGCAGGGCCGGCCCCGGGTCCCCCGGCCGCGCCTAGCTGGCCAGCTGATGGCAACATGCGGACGGCGCAGCGGCCGCGAGCACAATCAAAAACAAGCACACCTCGTTGTGCACCCGCTCCAGCTTCGCCGCGACGTGCGTGAAGTAGTCGTGCATGTTGGCCACCACGGTGGGCAGCGCCAGCGCCACGTCCACGCCGCCGGCGCCGAGCCCCGCCTCCGCCTGGCGCGAGCCCTGCGCGGCCAGCACCTGCGCGCGCAGCGGAAAAAAACACGCCGAGCTCCTTCTGTCAGCCCGCGGCATGATGATTCGACAACCTCACGCCTCTGCCACTGGAACCCCGACCTACGGCGGACCAGGGGCCCCGCCCGCCCAGCAGGGCCGGGCGCCCGGCCCCGGGCAGCTGCCGCGCACCTGCTCGAGCTCCGAGACTGTCTTCTTGTACTCGGCCACCTGGTCCGCAAACCCCTTGGCGGCCTCCTCCAAGAAGGGGGAGGGCAGCAGCACCGGCTGGGACAGCAACTCCTGCAGCGCTGTCGGCATGACCTGGCCTGCACATATGCATGGGTGTGAGGGCGTCGGGCGGCGAAGGGTACCGTTGCGAAACGGCAGCCAAATGAGCGCCGACGCGCGTCCGCGGGCCGTTAGCAAGCCCTTGACACTAGTGCAATCGAGACAGCACACCGTGCCCATTGGGATTCCGTCGGGGTCGCGTTATGCCCTTTACGCACCCTTGAACTGTGTGGGCGCGTCCCTCCACAGCTTGGTGCGCTGGAAGGTGCGCACCACGCCGTCAGCGGCCTTCAGCAGCAGCACGGCCTTCTGCGCTCGGGCAGAAGGGGGGCGGATTAGCCCTCGGGCGCCGGCGGGGCTTGCAGCGCCGCTCGAAGAAATAACGGCGCGCTCAGACCGAGGCGCGGCGCACAAGGGTGCCAAACACGGCCAGCAGCACAACCAGCCCTTCACACGCCACCGCTCGGCAGGTGTCCCTGCAGAAGGGCGGCTCCCCAGCCCCGCCCTGGGCCAACCACCTCGCCCCCGGCCCCGCCCCCGCCCGCGCGCCTGCCGGAAGTTCTCTAGGGACTCCTCCTCAGACCTCATGGACCCCTGCAGGCCCCGAAGCTCTGACTGAAGGGTAGAAGCTTCCGCCCCCACGTCCTGCAAGTTGGGGGGCGGGGCCAATGGCGGCGGGGCGGTGGCGGTGGTGAGCATGGGCGAGTGCAGGATGAAACAAAGCAGGCCCCGTAGCAGGCGTGGGTTTTATGACATAGCAGCAGCGACGTGTGTGCCTGCAGCCGAGGTCACGGGGGCTCGCGCGCGGCGGCGAGCCCGGGATGCGCCCCTGGCCCCCGACCCCCGGCTCACCCTGCTGCCATCGGGCCGCTCGTGCAGGTGCGGCAGCTGGCTGACTGCGGCCCGGTCGGAGTCATACTGAGATATCTGCTGCCTGCGACAGGCGGCAGGGCACGGCGGCGGCATATGCATCAGTGGTGAGCGCCCCAATGCGATTGAAGTCTTCTGCGCAGGCTATGCACGATCGCGTCCAGGTGGCACACACGATGTCCGAGTTTGTAGCAAAGCGCTGCGCCGCCGCCACGTGCGGCAGGCGGCCCGCATTAGTGCTACGAACCCCCCAGACTCACTGCAGGCCGTTGAACAGCTGCTGCAACTGCGGCGGTAGGTCCTCGAAGCGGCTGCTGTAAGTAAGCGCCCCGGACGGCTGCACCGCCTGCGCCGGCGCCGTCCCGCCAAACGAGCCGAACGGCGCCGCCGCTGCCGCTGGTGCAGCCCCCGCAGGCACGAGCGCCCCGCCGCCGAAGCTGAAACCGCCGCTGGCCGCTGGGGCTGAGGTGGCGACGCCGAAGCCGCCAAAAGAGGGCGTGGACGAGGCGGGGGCCGCGCCAAAGAGCGGCGCAGACGCCGCGGGTGCTCCAAACAGGGATTGTGACGCGGCTGGAGCGCCAAACGCCGGCGCGGCGGAGGCAGCGGGCGCGCCGAAAGCTGGTGTCGATGAAGCGCCAAAGCCAGACGCGCCGCCAAAACCGAAGGCTGGCGCCGAAGATGCAGGCGGTGCACCAAACGCGGGTGTTGAGCTGCCGCCAAACGAGAAGCCTGCCGAAGATGCGGGTGCGCCAAACGCAGGGGCACTGCCCCCGAAAGAGAACGCCATTTGGCTCAATTAGCTGCTGAAGGCTCCCTCTGAATCGCTCTGACTCACTGCTGCGATCTGCTGTGTTTGTTTTCAGTGCAGATCATACACTGGGTACATAGACGTAGAAATATGGCATGGTAGCACATACACGTGCTCTAGATGGCCGCAACACCAGGTCTCTGTTCGCGCAATTGATCCGACTGCGTGTGTGTACACAGCGCTTCTTAGCCAAAAAAGCGTAGCAGCATGGCCTTGAAAGACACCACCATGAGGGTGTCATACGCGACTGAGTACGGTATGGTAGCAAGGAAAGCGCAACTTTGTGGCCTGTCAACCAGCTCCTTTGTGTTTGACAGCCACGACGTGGGTGCGTTGCCCATGCTAATCGCAAGCAGAGATCGGTACTTTTTCCAGTATTGAGGGCTTGGCCATCCCCGGGCCGCGCATGGGTCGGTTGAGACGTCCGAGCGGGCCGCTTGACCGGAGAGACTATGCGCTTACCGGCCGGGGGAGCCCGCGTATTCAAACTCACCAGGTTCCACTGCCGCTGAAACAACCATCATAAGTCCTTCGAGTCATGCCCGCATGCGGCGGCACGGTCCCCGCGTCCAGGGGGCCTGCCGCCCCACCACCACAGCTGGCGCACAGGTGAGTCAAGGCGTCGTGGTGCCAACGGCGCCTCAACGGCCGCCGCATGGATGGGCGTCTGCGCTGCTTTATAGATAGTATAGCAGAGTCGAGCGCACAGCTGATCCACCAAGAATCATATGTACAAGGCCCCTCGGCAAGGCTGTTGTGTTGCTGAGACCTCCACCCACAACTCGCTCGGCACTCCCGTCGATTCTTGTTATGATCCCGCAGCCCGTCCCACCGAGCGGCCCCGCGAGCTCTGCTGGCCAGGGGTGCGCCCCAAGACTGGTCAAGGTTGTCGTATTGTACGTTGGTGATGCAGAGGGCACCGTTGCAAACCGAGTGGCACCCGCTGCCGCCCCCTGAGTTACTGTACGCAGGGACCTCGTAACAGGCTGCGGAGCAGCTGCGGCATCCGCCCCCGCCGAGCAGTGGCCCGGACAGCTCCAAGCTTCGCACCAACCGGCGCGCTGAGCTGCGCAGCCCCAGCAGGCTTTGCGTCCCACCTGGCGCCCTTGCTTTAGGCTGGGGTGCGCCAGCGTGGGCATGGGCGCGCTGCTGGTGGAGTGGTCTGGTGTCGCCTGGGCAGCGGAGCCCCTGGCACCCGAGGGGCTACGGGCAGCAGGGGAGCGTCTGAGGCGCATGATGGAGGCGGCTGCCACCTCCAGCAACACACCCAGTTGCAAGGCGAAGGGCTGTCCAGCAAGCAGCAGCGGGCGCTGGTGGTGTTGGGGGTGATGGTATGACCACCGGAAGGCATCACAATTGGATTTGCGGAATGGACGCGTAAAGTCCAGGCTCAGTCTGGCTGGTGGCCACACACACGCGGCCATCGTCTTGGTCAACAGAAGCCACACCATGGGCGGCTGCTGGACTGCGCGTTCAAGAGTGATTTGGTGATTTTGAAGACAGGCACGACGCTCTTCGATAATGTCTACGGGTCCAGAGTGCCTGCGGTCGGCAGCGGTGACCACCGAGTGCGAGATCGCCACGACGAGGGGCGGGTGACTGAAGTTCATTGATGCCCTTGGCAAAGCAAAATACTGTGTGCACCTTATATCGGCGCAAAGCTCGCCGCCTGGCAGCTTGTGCTCTTCGACCAGTGTCCGTGTGTGTAAGGTCCGCCGACTGCAGGCTGCTTCCTCCTGAGCGCCTCCACCAGAAAGTAGTAATATTTCACGTGGTTGCATCACCGCTCCTGGTGCCTGCATCGGCGACCGCAGCGCCTGGTGGCGTGCTGTGCTGGCGCCGCGCCCACCAACGCGCTGGCCGGGCACGGCAACGGCCTAGAGCATGGGTCTGGCGCAGTCTGTGCTGCACCAAGATGCGAGGGTGCGTGATCTTTTTGAACCTGTCAGGTGAGGGTCCTTGAGCAGTCGAGGAGGCTTTCGTGGTCACGAAACGCGTGCGGTTTGATGGCTGCCACCTGCGCGCGATGGCCTGCCGGGGCTGCCCCGCACTGACCTGACCAAATGAACATGAGGGGCGCAGCCGGACGTGGTGGCCTTGGCTGGGCCGCAAGCCGCCCCGCGCCCCTCACCCGAGGGGGGGGGTGCGGGCGCAGCTGAGTCCCCTAGCCGCCAACCGGCCGCCGCCCCAGCGGCACCACTGCCCCCCCCCAGCGTCGCCTGCCGCCCTGCCGCTTGGCAGGTTGTGCAGACGGCCCGGCGCAGCCGACTTTAGTGAATGAAGGTGTCAGCTGCCTGCAAACGCCTTGCTTTTCACCCTCACTTACCCTCACAGGATTCTGGGGGTCGGGGTGGAGGGGGCAGAGGTCTGGCTGGTCCGCTGCCGCACCACCGGGGCCCATGCGGCGCTCAAGCTGGTGAGCCACAAACCCCGATGCTGACTCTCATATGACAGCAGCGACGGGCAGGAGGGGGGGGAGAGGCAAGGGGTGCCTGGATCACGCAGCGAGAGGGACGGGGTGGGGTGTGCTGTCTCAGACGGGGTGGCGTCCGCTCATCGCTCTTGCAGCCGCCACGTGGTGTCCCAGGACCCCCATCCGTGCTTGTGATATTCTCCTGCTGCACATACCCCCCCGTCCCTGCACCCTGACGCCCGCCCCTGCGGCGCCCAACAACTCGCTTTAATTCGGCAACCGTCGTTCTCAGATCCCTCGCGGGGAGGGCCTCGGCCACAGCCCTGAGCGGCTGCGGCGGGAGCTGCAGCTGCAGCTGCACCTGTCTCACGTGAACCTCTGCGAGCTGCAGCAGGTTGGTGGCCGCAAGGGCCAGGGGCAGCGGCAAACGGCAGCAGACGTGCCGTTTGCAACACGCATGTGTGTCGTGTTCAACGGTGTGTGTAAGTGAGTGCATTTGTGCGTGCGTGCGCGTGCGTGCGTGCGTGCGTGTGCGTGTGCGTGTGCGTGTGCGTGTGCACGAGCCGCAAGTGTGTGAGTGCATGTGTCGCATGTCAGTATGTGCCTAAGTATACGTGTGTGTGTGTGTGTGTGTGTTTTGGGGGGGCACTTCTGGCGGTGCTGACCCTGGGGTGACGCAGTCAGAGATGTGCAGTGACGTTCTTCGAGCTGGGTTTTCCGGATTGCGACCACCAACCTGGGTCGCCCTGCCCCACCCTCCAAAGATCGTCCTGAGCGGCCGCAACCTGGGGGTGGTGACGTCATACGAGGCCGGCGGCAGCCTCTACACGTTCGTGCAGAAATTTGGGATGACAGAGGTGGGCGCATTTCAGGCTGCGCGAGCTGACCGGCAGCGCCCTGGGCTTGCATGTGTCAGCTGTCATGTCAGCTGTTCAAAGGTGTTTGTGCCTGCCTGCCCTGCTGATCCCCTGCCCTTGCCGCCCTTCATTGACCAGCGCGATTTGTGCTGTTGAGCAGCGGACCCCGCCATCACGCTCTCGCTCCCTGCCCGCCCCGAAATCCGCCGCCGCAGATCGCCGGGCGCTACTTCCTCAGGCAGATTGTCTCGGCCCTGGCCTACTGCCACCGCCAGGGCGTCGCCCACCGCGCGCTGTGGCTGCACAGCTTCCTCCTCACCGAAGAGGTGCGCCCTGCGCGGGCCAGTCCTTCGTGGCGCTCGTGCTTTCCCGGTCATCGATCCCCTTTCCTCGCGCTCTGCCTGTTTGTGCGTAGCGCGAGTCGCGCCTTGGTGCGCGAAGCCACCGACCCCTCGCACAGCCGACCAGCCTGCAGCATCCCCTACAGCAAACATCTGCCCTATGCTGTGCCCGCCGCGCATCCGGTTTCGTGCACCTCGCGCGCCCCGCGGCGCCGCAGGACCCGCCGCGCCTGAAGCTCACAGACCTCTGCCCTGTGGGCCAGTGGGACCGGAAGCTTCCCAAGGCCGACCCCGCCGGCCAGGGCGCCTTGGCGCTGCTGGCGGGCCTGGTGCAGGGCTCGAGCCTGGTGGAGCCGCAGGTGAGGGGCAGGGCGGCCTGCTGCAAGCGCCCCCGTGGCGCTGGCGCAAGCCTTCGGGGGCCCGGCGCCGTCCGCGCCTTGCAGCGGGGGCGGCGCCTGGGGTTTGTTGCGGCCCTTGAGCGGTCTCCGTTCAGCCGGCCTTGCAGGGGCTGGGCGGGCTGCGTGGTGTGCGGGCTTCCCCAGGTCTTGGTGCTGGGTATACACCAAGAATTGATGCGCCTGCGGGCACACAGCCCCCCCCTCTTCGTTGCTGGCCCCCTGCCGCTAGATGCTGGAGTCGGCCTTCAAAGCGACCGAATATGAGTGCAGCTCAGAGGCCGCCGACGTGTGGGCCTGCGGCCTGCTGCTCTGCCACATGTTCTTTGGCCGGGTGACACACTTCAGGTGGGGTCGGCGCAAGCGCCCGGGCTGCTCACGCTATCACCATGTCGGCCCCAGCGCCATACGGCTGCACGCCTCATGTTATCACATGCCCGGGCGTCGGCATCGCCTGATATTATCACATGCACGGCGCGAGCCGGCACCTCGCCGCTTAAGCTGCCACTCATTTGCGTTGAGATGCCGAAAGCAGGCATGGTAGCCGTTGACGATCGCCCCGCCTGGTGGTGGTTATCTGCCAGCAAAATCATATTTTGAAATTCTCTCCCTTTTCCTCGTTCGGAATCACTCCTTGCTTTTGTGTCGACGGCCAGGCTGTCGCCGAGCGATCTGCAGGACGACCGCGGCGGCGCGCCAGAGAGGGGCGCGTGGGTGCGCGCGGACGAGCACGTGTGGCGGCTCGCGGCGCAGATGAGCCCCGCCCTGCGGGACCTGCTGGACTGCATATTTGTCGCGGATGAGAAGGAGCGCATCACCCTGGAGGTGTGTTGGTGTGTGGGTGTTGTGTTGTGTGTGTGTGTGTGTGTGTGTGTGTTTGTGTGTGTGTGATGTGCGTTTTGTGTGTTGTACGTAGGCGACACTGTCTCGTGACTACTACAGGGCGCCGATCCATGGACACCCCAGGCTGCATGGCTTTCATGACACCTGCACTTTTCAAACATGCCCCCGCATACACCACGTGCCGCCCCCTGCAGGGCATTGCGCAGCACCCCTGGCTCCGAGGCCCCCTCCCGCCCAAGCTCAGGGCGGCCCTGGCGGAGATGGAGGAGGAGCAGCTGAGGCGGGATATCTTGGAGCGCGGCGCGGTGAGCGGCCGCGAGGCCGCCGGAGTCGGAAGGGGCCGCGCGGCGCCGCGCGTGGGGCCCGGGGGGGGGGGGAGGGGGGGCCGTGCCCGCTGGAGTCTCGCGATTCTGCGGCGGTGAGAGGCGGCGGCGCAGCCGGCCGCGCCCCGCGCTTGTCCGCCTCTCTTCGATTTGGCTGCGGCGGCGGGAACGGCGCCTGCTTTTCGTGCACTTGTGCCGTTTGTTCCAACAATGTGCCATAGCGTGCGCATGGTCTTAGTGATTGCGGCTGTTTCGCCGTTTGGGGCGCGCCTGCGCGCAGGCGGTGCTGTCGGACGGCGAGTGGGACGTGCAAGAGGCGTGCGGCGTCACCGGGGAGTTCGCGGCCGTCAGCCGCGTCCTGGATGACGCCAGGTGATGGTCAATTTCGATGACTCACCGGCTCCGGGCGCGGCCGGGGTCGGGCCTCGTCCGCGGAGCAGCGAGCGGCGGCACGGCCCCCTGCGCAGCCGGCCTCTCAAGCGGCGCCGCGGCTGGGAGGCGCCTGCGGCGACTGGCGGGCACCGCCTGTGCGGTTCCACCCCCTGCCCCAACCCCTCCTCGCACCTCGCGCCACACGCCGCGTTGACCGCTGCTGCGCCCCCTGATCCCCCCCCTCTCAGGTTCCTGCCGGCCGCTGACGAGCGCGCCAGGCTCGAGGGGCCGGCCGAAGTTGTAGAGATGGCGCACATGCACCTCCGCGGCGGCGCCGGCCGCGCCGGTGCCTGGCGCAACGACGCAAAGGCGGGGGCAGGGGCCGACCAAGACGGCGCGGGCGCGTGGCGCCTGGAGCGCTCGCCCAGCGGCCTCGTGACGGCTTCGTGGGACGAAACAGCGTCCGGCGGCGCGGCCGTGCAAGAGGTCGAGCGCGCTCACAAAGCGCCCCGCAGCGCAGCCGCGCGCGGCGGGCGGGGCGGCGCAGCGCCGGGAGCCTGGTTCGGCAGCTGCGTCAACGGCGGCTGCGTCGCCTCGGACGATCTGGGCAGCAGCCGGGCGGCAGACGAGCAGCCGCTGATCCCGCCAGAGCTGCGGGCGCGGCGCCCCGACGCAGCGCCGGGCGCGATCGCGCACGCGGCGCCGCCAGAGGGCGGCGCCGGGCGCCCACCCGCGCACGGCGCCGCGGCTGCCGCCGCGTCTGTGCAGTCGGACGCTGCGCCGGCGCGCGACGCCGCGGGCGGCGCGAAGGGCGGGAAGGTCAAGATTATAGTGAGGGATCAAGCAGATGAGGATCAGGCCAAGGCCATAGCGGCCCTGTGGGAGCTAAGCGCCACGCTCACAATCAAGCACAGGGCCAGGCCCGGCGCGGCCGCCGCCGCCGGGCCGCTCCAGGCAGAAGCGTGCGCGGCGCTGCCCTGACGCGCCCGCGCCCCCGATAGCCCCCTTTGGCGTGCCGCCGCCGCGCGCCGCCACCCCTGATTGCATATGCCGCGCCGCCGCAACCCGCATGTTGCGGAGTTCGCCCAAACAATGGCTTTCTTGCCCAGGAAAATGGCTTTGTGACAAATAGACCTGTCGGCTGTGTGCATCAGCCGAAGCTGCCCCGTGGCGACAACCCATGCTTCCCTTGCTGAAGAGCCACCTACCCGCAACTCGATGCCTTTACCCGATAACGCACAGCCGCGTTGGAGGCGGCGCGCCCTGCGCGGGTGCACGCTCCGCGGCGCAGGCTTGCATCCACATGCACGCGTCCACGCGCCCGTCCGTGCTCCGCGGACGCTGGCGGCGCCTTGCATGGCCAACCCATGGTTTTATGGAACTTGCTTTTTTGGTCCTGCCTTCCTTGTGGCCACGTGCTTGCATGGGAGCAGTCGATGCTCACAATACTTTTACGGTATGTATGCGCATGAGAGCCACCGCGCAGCCCAGCAAATCATTTTTCAATCCTGCATCCCTGCATATAACTTTTGACAGGAGACATTCTCAGAGTGCCAAGCATAGTTGCACCCATGCTCATGCGCGGCATGCGCTCGTTGTGCACTTTGCCCCGCGGCTGGTGCCCCGCGCGCTGACGGGGCTCGCACTCAGTGGGAGTGCGAGCGGATGCGTGCGCGCGGATGGGCGCGCCGCGCGCAGCTCTTGCGAGCATTTACTTGATTCATGTCCTGTGCTGTTCGGCTGGCACCTTGGGCCGCCGCTGCCACAGGTGGGTTTTGGGGATCACTCTGACCCTCAAGTCGCCACTGCGCGCTGTTTGATGGCATTACTGACGGGGGTTTTCTCAGCAGTTCGCCCATGTTCAGGCTTTTGTTACGTGTAGTATGCAATAGGTGTGGTTTGGGGTCCATTGATGCCCATGGGTTCCACTTCTAGCGGTCAAATGACGACACACGCCAAAGGCATGTGCCGCCAGACGACAAACACACTGGGCCAGGCAATTGACTCACTCATGAGGTCAGCGCGAGCAGCAGTGACCTGCTGGCAGGGCTCAGAAAGCACGCACGCCACGCTGCTTACGCGTCTACGGACGTTGTCATACAGTACCACGGAGCCTGGCGCAACAACGTGATCAAGAGGATAGATCACAGAGTTCGCTATCGTGCTTGTAACACTTCAAAGTGCGATCTAGCAAACATAAAGCCCAAGGTCTGAGCAGGGGCTGGTGCGACGCCACGCGTCGCTGTTTTGCGACTGCATCGGCGCGCCGGACGCCTTGCAACTATCCTGGTAGACTGCGACTGCGGTTCTGCGGAGCAACACCGGCACTCGTAAGCCGATTCAGCGTGGCCGCTGCTCAGCCCGCCGCCGCAACAGCAGGCTTCGCGCGACGTCCTCGCCACACCAGGGGTGTAACCTCGCGCCAGCAGCCGGCAAGGCAGCGGAGAGCAGCAGCAGCAGCAGCAGCAGCAGCCGTAGCAGCGGCGGCGGCGGCAGCAGGGAGCGGATGAGATGTCTCTGATCTATTCCCTGTACATCATCAATAAATCTGGTGGCCTCATTTTCAGCAGGGTGGGTCGTATGCCGAGTGGGATGCACCCTGCCGCTCCGCGCGTATGGGCGGCTCGCTGTCACGCCGCAACGCACAGCCGCACGCCTGGCACGGGCGCAGAGCTCGATTGCGCAGCGGCCGTTGACGGCCGCGCAGGGCGCAGTGAGGCAGCACGCGCCTGCGATCCTCGTGTCTGTCTCTGGGGGCAAGGCTGCAGGCTTGGGTGCACTACGCCCCATTGAGGCGGAGTTGTGTCGCCCAATGGCCCACCCACGGACGCACGTGCGCGTGCATACACAAACAAACACATGCAAACTCACGTGCTCACACCAACGGTAACACACTCACGCACACAACAAGCAACCATCCACCTTCCGTTCGCCGCAGGACTTTGAGGGCGGCAGCGCCCGCCTAGATTTGAACGACACACTGCGGCTGGCAAGCATATGGTAGGCGCCGCGAGGGCTCACATCGCACCCACAACGGCGCGTCACCAAGCCGCTGCCACGCCCACCCCCAGCGCTGGCCGTGAGCGTTTTTGGAGGTCTTGGCCCGGCCCCCCTTGGCCCTCACATCACCCCAAACTTGCCTCGCAGGCACTCGCTGCACGCCATATCTTCGCAGCTGTCGCCGGTGGCGCAATGCGGCGGGATAGAGCTGCTGTCAGCGGAGAACTTTGACCTCCACTGCTTCAGCAGGTGAGGGCGCCTGCGCGTGCGCGTGTGAGTCTACGTGTGTGTGTGTGTGTGTGAGTGTGTATGTA